AAACATGATGAATCTCATAGCTGAAGGGATAACATGATTTAGAGAATACGGGAGATTTTTCTGTTTGGATGACGGGTTTATCCCACTCAGTTTTTTAAGTTAACAGGATGATGCCTCCATTGGTGGCAGGGCCCATGTGTATGGGTGGGATGATGCAGTCTGCTGTGGTGCGTTGACTTTTTCAAGTCTCTGTCGGGCATCAGAAGTCCCAGCAGAAGGAAAATAATGTGAAGGAAGCTTTCAAAGATTGTGACTTTTTTGGGAGAAGATAACTTAGTATGTACTTGGGTCTGGTGAATAAGATGTCAGACTTGGTTATAGGGAGAGTGTTAGCCACTTGCTTTTTAAAGAGATAGTTGATCTATCTCTGAAGCATATTATCTGTCGAGTGATCTGCTTATTCACACAGATTCTGCACAATAAGAGTATTGTTCCTTATCTAACAGTGAAACAAAATATCTGTATCTGTAACTGACTGTGTCAAGCTCACATTAATCGTCATTGAACAGCAAATTATTGAAGGTCCAGTCAGGAAATATCACTTGGCTTGGACACATTTCCTTCTTGTTTTCTTTCAATAACAGTTTATTGTCTTCTTTTTAAAACAGAAAAATGTGGGCTTTTTAGTATGAATAGCCACAGATAGCCCCACCTTGACCAGGGAAAGTAAGATATGCAGTAAGTCTAATTTATCTTCCCTGATTTACAGCAAATTTTGATTACTCAGGCTTGGCATATGACCTTGGCTTGGATTCTGGTTCATTGTCTCTGCATGACATTCACTTGGCTGTTCTGTCATGGGGTGAATGGCCTTCAGGCATATAGGGCTCTGAAGCACCAGTGAATTAGACTTACAGACTTTAGAAACGTTTGGCAAATTTCTATAAGTTCTGGTAGATCAGCAAGGTATTTCCACATATCGTGCCCCTTCGCAGGTTTGTGAAGCACATGGCTTGCAAAGCAATTCAATTGTCCTTCCCTTCCTAGCAGTCAACAGGCTTCTGTGCACACACATAGCTCTGGCTATGAGTAGAATAGAATCATAGAATCACAGAATCACAGAATCATAGAATCGTAGAATGCTTTGGGTTGGAAGGCACCTTTAGAGTTCATCTAGCCCAACCCTCCTGCAGTAAGCAGGGACATCTTCCGCTAGATCAGGTTGCTCAGAGCCCCGTTCAACCTGGCCTTGAATGTTGCCAGGGATGGGGCATCAACCACCTCTCTGGGCAACCTGCACCAGTGTTTCACCACCCTCATGGTAAAAAATTTCTTGCTTGTATCCAGTCTAAGTCTACCCTCTCTTAGTTTAAAACCATTACTCCTTGTCCTGTCTCAGAATAGAAATACTCCTGTACGTGCCGCTTTTGCTCAGAAAGGGGAGTATTGCTGAAGGGAACAAAGAAGAGAGCCGGTGTAAGCGGCAGACGGGAAGCTGAGTGGCAGAAGCAGGGCAGAGGCTGGGGGATCTCAGCGGGAACCGAGCTGCAACAGCCAGAGAGGAGGTGCAGAGGTTGTGGGAGATGGGGAAGTGGTTGTAAGGGAAACAGATGGGAAGAGAGGCAGATGGGGGATTAGGACACGAATACGTAGTAATCCAGACTTCTTTAAGTGAGATGGTCATGGAAAAATGTGGTTTTCTTCCTGCCACTGCTAGAGGTTGAACTGGATGATCTCAAGAAGTCCCTTACAATTTATATTTCTTTTTTTAGCATCAGCCCTCCGAGTTCCAACTGTTTCACCTTACATGAGCATTTATGAGCAAAGGGTTTTCCTAATTACTAACGGTTATTGTAGCAAAAAAATGTAGACAAAATCAGATCCCAGCATATGGGAACCCTTCAGAGAGGTAATTTATTTAGGGTATCATATATATTATGTACTACAAATAGGAGTGGAATTTTTGAAATCAATATTATTCTAATTTAAAACTTACATTGTTATTAGCATGTAAGATTCCGCAGCTTCTAAAGAAAAATTTACATTTAAGAATTTAGGACCAAAAGCTCCATACTAATTTAAAAGCAAAACAAACCACTGAGGAGAACCCTGTTAAAAGAACTGGAAGGAAAAGATAATTTCAGAGTGGATGATAAATGCATACAGCAGATCAAGAAGCCCATAAGAAGTAGGCGGCGGCTAGACCAGGGCTTTGAATTAACTGCAGTAGGTGGAGCCAGGAAGCAGCAAGGAGGATAAAACAAACCATGTGTCCCGGAATAATTCAATAATTCTCTGACACAGCCCACACAGTTTTGGCTGGTTCAGGCCTGTTGCATGGTCGTTTCCCTGTGTTCCGATGTCGTCCTCCATCCATTTCCCTCACTCTCAACGAAGTTCCTCTGCAACCACAAGCAGATGTTCTCCAGACTACAGTTCAGAACAGAGAAAACAAGCCGTATCGGAAGGTTTATGTATCTCGTGGGGTCATGCGGCATCTGCCCAGAGCTGGCGATGCTTTGGAGACCCTTTTAAAGCAGGCAAATGAGCACGAAGCACGAAGGAGACATAATTTTGTAGATCTAAATGTACCACAGCCTGTGCTCTTAAAATATCTCAGCACATCCGTGGGGAAAAAACAGGGGAAAACCACATTTATGTGATTATTTCTCTACAAGTTGTAGTCTTAAAAATGTGCATCTGTCATTTGTGATGGTTTATTGTGCTTTTCACTTCAAGCTGCTGTCAGCCAACAAGAGCTGTTTCGCTAGTTTATGACTGTGTCAAATCAAAGCCTTCACAGGGCCATATTGTCCAGTTTATTTCTAGTGCAGGTGTTTCACCCACACAGAAGGAAGCGGCGACACACTGCGATCGAAGAGGACTTGAAAGTCCAGAGTGCCAACACCAGCTCTTCACCGGGTGCTGGCCGCCTCTTGGGCTTTTGATCTGTACAACGAGTAACTAACAACCATTAAGGCTCATAAGAGCGTCTCGCTGGAGCCAACGCGAGCGGGCAAACGCTGTCGCCATCTAGACCTACGCCGACTCTCGAGCCAGTTCACGCCGCTAACACACCAGGGGATTTCGAATAGAAA